CTTCTTAAAATCATTAAGCATTTCTTACAGTCGGTTCTCAATTCTGATTTCCAATTCTGAGTTATCGGTGGCCATTGCGAAAGACTGTAAATCTGTAATATCAACTCCTGTTTTTGGTATCGGGACTAGGGCATCAATCACTGTCCTACTCGGTGCTGCTGTTGTGACGCAATCGGTGGTAGCACTATGGGAATGAAAGGTTGCGTGGGAGGCAACGATGCTTGCTGTGGTCGCTGCGTGGAGGGATCGCTACTGCTGGGGACTGGGAGGCAGCAATGGTGGTGCGGTTGGGGGCAGTGTCGCCAAGGGCCTGTCGCTGCGGTGGTTGCGACGGCACGGATGGAAGGTAGCGTTGCTCTGTCTCTACTGCACTACGGAAGGAGGCGTTGGTGACGTCGAGGGATTGCGGTTGAGAACACGACGGTGTCGTTGAAGTGGCCGAGGTTGAGAAGAGGAGTCGGTGCGTGCGTTGCCGAGGATGAAGCGGCCGCACAAGAGCTTGCTGCGTGTGCTGTTGGAGTGCGGCTGCGGTGGCGTTGCCGAGGTTCCGAGGTTGAGGCTGCAGTGGAAAATAGGAATGACGGTGGAAGGCTGGGCGGCGAGCGGCGTCGTCGCTGGCTGGGCAGCAGCGGCGACGGTGGTGGCAACCGGCGTTCGCAGCAGCAAGAGGACCGGCGACTGCTTCGCAGCAGCAAGAGGATTGCCCTGTTTCGGTCACCAAGGGGGCAGAGCAATGGGGAGTGGCGGCGGTCGTTCTCGCCCGAGCCAGGGGGAGTGGCGGCTGGGAGGCGAGCGGCGGTCGCCGCACGGTGGCTGGCAGCGGTGGTGGGTCGGCTGGAAGGCGACGACGCTCGAGGCGCGGCTGCGATCGACGAGAGACTGCGGCAACAGAGGAAGCTCTGTTTCTGCAACCGCTGCAAGGAGGGGCTGCGGCAACCGGCGGCTGCGGCTGCGACCCAAGGGGGGGGGCACGGCTAGGGTTGCGGCTGGCAGGCGGGCAGCGGTGATCGAGCGGTCGGGAAGCAGCGGCGTCGGTAGAGGCAACCGGCGCATGCAGCAACAGAGGGACCGGCGGCTGCTCTGTTTCTATCGCACCACAGAAACAGCGACACCGACAGATCGCGCGGCCGAAGCTGCAACCAAGGGAAGGCAGCGATGGCGGTGCGGCTAGGGCAGCGTCGCCGACGGTAGAAGCGGCGATGGGTGGTCCGCTGGCTGGGAAATGGCGGCCGCGGCCCTTCTCGCTCGAGCGAGATGCGGGCAGCGAGGAGGCGAGGTCGCTGGCCGGGGGGGCAGAGGCGGTAGTGGTGGCTGCTGGCTGGTCAGCAGCGGCAGCGGTGGTGGTCCATCGGCCGAGAAGCAGCAGCGGCGGGTGGGCTGGCCGGAAGCAGGGGAGCGTGGCTGCGGCTTCGTCTTCCTCTCTTCTTTTGTTTTTCCTAAAATAAAGGGATGATAATGATCACTTCGAGGGGATCGGTCTCCTTGATCGTTTCGAGGGGATCGATCTCCTAGGATTTATCCACAGAGTGGAATAAAATTTGATTGATTGATTCATTGATTGTCAAAAGAAAGGGTTACATCACTATTTATAAAGTTCCACCTAAAGTTCATCACGACTTAGACTCTTAATAATAAATAAATATTAAATAAACATCTACTTGATTTTAACTAAATCAAACCGACTCAATAAACAATTGAACTAAACATACTCAATAAATATTATTCAAAGGCTCAGAAAAAGGGTCCTAACACTAATCTGATTGTATCATGATTTACATACTTCTATTACTAATCAAAATAGGATGACAGAATCAAAATAGGTTAGAACATTCGGTGGTTGAGAACGATTTCACATACCTTTGAAGGAGATCGAGGAGCTTGGATGCCCTCCCGAACACACTACACTACGGAAGACAATTCGTCAATCCTGGTGTTGTCATCGAGACCCATGCCGAAAGCTTCCGAGCGCAAACACCCTTATTAGGGGGAGACCTGCCCACCAAGCCATTGTCATTGACGTCGGAGCACGATCATCGGCTCTAAGGAAGAAACGCCATATTAGGGCTACGCCGACATTACCCCAAGAAGCGGGGAATTGCACGGATGCAAATGACACATCAGGTTGGGTACTTCTTACACATCATACTAGGGCTATGATTCACGATCGATTCAGTGAGGGATTGTAAGAGCCCTCGATTGGTAAGCAACAGTGATGCCCTGAGGAAAGCAAGGGGGGTAAGGCGGCGTGGAGGAACGGGACATTGCCAGTGGAAGCTCAGGGAAGTGTCTCTTTCTCCCCCTTATCGGAATCCTAGAAGAGTTGTTGCCAAGCGTTAGGGTTACACATCTCTGACGGAATGAATGACTTCAGGCGAGTGTACCATTCCTGTGTTAGACATCTCAAACTATAAGCATCTGCGGGTGCTATATAGAGACATCCAAGTTTGGAAAGTCACAATGTGTTCTATAGGGTCAACACCACCATTGAACACTTCTAGAGTTGGTAGTCAAAAGCTTGTTGGAATAGGTTCTTCCTAGATCTTCTGGATGAAGGGCGATCGACCTACATCTCCTCCAAATATTGGTTCATTTAGTGAAGTTGAGCATGAAGGGAGTTTTCCATTGAGTCTGTTGATTGAAACTCAAACTTGAGTATGGTAGACTGGGGGTGGTGTGGCTTACTGAATTCTATAGTTGGGGTTCGAAATGCCCCCTTGGTTGGCAGTTGAACAGGCATCAAGTGCTCTTAGTGTGTCAACACCACGTGGGTCGAGGAGCCTCGATGGGTTCTAGAGGAACTAAGGACTACAATTGGCTGATGGTGCCACTGGTTGTGCTAGCTAGGGCAAGAGTTGAGCGATGACCTGTATTATCCTCATTAATATTTGTACATGTTATGTAAGATTTAAGAACACCTCGATAGGAATGAGCAAGTCATTCGGGGTCATCTCTAAGGATGATAGACCTAGGTATTAAACAAATGTCAGTACATCATCAGTGTTTCCATCGAGTCCTCCTTATAGTACCAAATGTTAAGAAAAAATGTCATTGACGTCTTAGTCAGCCTGACCTGATTCCATTCTTTATGTGCAAGAAATACCGAAGTGTAATCGAGATACCGCCAAGGTAGAAATATCATGTACCTTAGTTTGCCTCAACGAAGTCCGAGATTGAGAATAAGTTTCTTGACATGATCCCTCTAATGCCCAAGTTAATATCACGAGATGGTAAGTAAGGCCGAAAGAGGTCAAAAGTAATATAAAAAAAACTTGGTAACAACATCGTAATTGAGCTTTTTATACTTGGTGGTGGAATATTCTATAGAGAGGCAAACTTGGTAACCGTCTCTTACAATATTCCTCTAGACTTTTATCTACGTAGGGGCAAAAGGGGGAGTTAGTTTATAATTATCTGTTTTGGATTTATATCTATGTGGGCATGGGTGCAGATCATATCCCCCTTTGTGTCAGTTTGCAATCACACGGAGGCCATGTGTTGGATCAAAATAGGTTAACGATATCTTTCCTATCATATATCCCTATGTAATGAGCGTAAATTAACTCAACTTCTCACTTACTTTTAACAAACTCTTCCAACTCCTTTCATGCCATCTCTTTTTCTTTCTTCCCCTTTTGTTCTCCTATCGTCGACTCATCTTTCATCATCGACGATGGCAAAATAAATAAAAAAAAGATAGATAATCAAATGGGACTATTAGAAGATCAAAGATGAGAAAAAAAAAAATTGTATGTTTATTAAAATAATTTAATATTTTTAAAACTTAAAACATCGAGAAGATATCATCTTCTAAGTCAATTTGCATTCTAGAAGATATCATATTCTAACCTAATAAGATTGTGCAAAATTGTATTTTATT